GGACGAAGGCATCTGTACCGTACGCCGCTGCTCAGACAAAAGCTGACCCTGTGCCAAGGGTACAGCACATGGAGGCTCTGCGCACAGATGGATCCCGCCAATCACCGCCGGCAACGCCTACGGAACGTGCACGTGATGCCGCACGTTGGCTATTTTTGGGACTCCGGATGGTCTTAAAGTGTATGCACATCGCGCCATTCCTCGGAGAGCCGCCAGCAACGCTGGCATGAACCTCATCTGAAGTGCGGCTCGCGACGCAGCACCGGGGCAGGCTGCTCTGGGACTCGAGGAGCCGGCTGATCACGTCGGCAGAAGAAGAGATGCTTCAGGTCTGAAACGTCAAAAGGTCGAACCGACTTGTGTCAAGCAGTGCGAGCAGAATCCGTGCAAGCACGTTTGGCAGGGGTCGATGCAAAGGACTTAGCGACTCCAAAAGGCAAATTACCTGGAGCCCAGCGTCAATGACTGTGAAAAACTTCGACTCCGATCAGGAGGCACGTACAGCATACACTGCTTTGCCGAACGGTGCAGAAGCAACATGCTCCCCTGTGGATCAGGATTGTGAAAACCGTCAAACAGCTTGGCTGACAAAGTGCGTTGTCACCGTCTCGTTCACGTTGATGGCGCCATTTCAAGCGCCGGAGGAAACAATGTGGGTCGCGGACTGCGTCTCGGCTTCGCACGTTTCTGAACCTTCACTTTGCACCGCATCAACGGTGCTTTGCGCCGGACAGTGCGGCACATCTGCCCAATTCTGGGCTTAAGCCGCGTAAGCTGCCCCACGGCTTTCCGGCTTCACTTTGGCATGGGACGCCCATCAATTGAGCTCTTTCCGAGAGGGAGCGGAAGTGGCCTCTGAGTCATGGTTGCTACAGGAGGAGGATCTGCTGGTACAAGTCTCAAAGCATGACATGCTTAACGTTCCTGATGTTGTCAGTTTCGCACGCCAGGTGCCTTACGGCACAAAGTTTGCTCGCCCTCTCCCGTCTGGCACACGTGTAAGTCTATCGCTCGCACACGTATAAGTCTATCGCTCGACGCAGCAGCATATCGCTCTGTACTGACACTCCAACGTCGGGCTCGAGTCGCTTCTCGTCTTTCTCGCCGACTCCAGTATTCGAAAGTTTCGTCACGACTGCAGCAGTCAATTACAGTCGCAATGGCAGTCGCCGACCGCATCCTCTTCAGCGCGACATCGCGAGACGCGCCGGCCGCCCCCGATGGAGTCCAAACGTTGCCGGACCTCTTCGAATGGCAGGCAAGGGCACGGCCCAGCGCTACTCTTTACTCTTTCCGTCGTGAAGAAGGCGCCGACGTGGCGCACAAGTCGTACCGTGAAGTCTACGAACAAGTCCTTGGTCTCGCAGACGCCCTGGCCCGTCTGTTCCTTCATTCTCACGGTGCTGCGTCGACTTCTCAGCAGCGCGCACCTGTAGTCGGCATTTGGTTTGAAAAGTCCATCGAGCTGCATCTGGCAATGCACACTTCCACTTTCTGCGGAGCGACATGGTTGCCTTTCGATGCCGATGCTCCTACCTCGCGAGTGACGGCGTGTCTGGACGACAGTCGAGCAGCAGTCCTGCTTTGCGACGCTGCACATTTTGAAGCTGCGAAGCAAGCAGCCGCCAATGCACCGCACACCATGTCGGTGGTCCTCATTGACGACTTGATGGCTGAAGCGCGCAAGTCTTCCCCGATCACTTCGGCGCGACCACGATATCCTCGGTCAACCGACGCGGCATACATGATTTACACCTCGGGCTCTACCGGCAAACCGAAGGGGATCGAGATTTCCCACGGTGCAGCATTGGTGTTCAGCCTTTCTGAGCGGCTGCTGCTCAATACTGGTCCAGAAGACATTGTCTGGCAAGGCTTCTCCTTCGCATTCGATATGAGCATCGAGGAAACGTGAGTTCTTGCTCGAATCACTCGACCTTCTTTATGGCGCGACAGCTGACCTCGTCTTTCTACGTCTGACAAGTTGGGTGAGCATCGCTGGTGGAGCACACTTGGCTATTGGTAGCCGCGCAGAGTGTCAAAACGTTCCTGGGCTCGGTGGCGCTCACGGCGTCTGGGCCAAACGTGGAGTCACCGTAGTAAATGCCGTGCCCACCTTGATCAACATCATGACGTCGCTAGATGATGAATGCAGCCTTCCACCTTCTGTCCGACTCCTCAATCTGGGGGGCGAAGCATGCCCTCCAGCCCTTGTGAACCGACTCTGGCATCCCAATCTCCGCATCTGGAACACCTACGGTCCCAGCGAAACTACGGTTACAGCCACGATCCAAGAATTGTTTCCGAACGAGGCCGTCACGATCGGCAAGCCTTTGCCCTCCTACCACGCCGTTCTTCTTCCCATCGCTGACGACTATGACAGTAGCGATGCAATTCCCAAAGAGCCTCTAGCTCTCGTCGCAGGTGCTGAGGGAGAACTTGCCATCGGCGGTCCTTGCGTAGGCAACGGTTATGTAGGTCGGCCAGAGCTCACAGCGGAAAAGTTCATACCCCACCCGCTCTGGCAAGGGACTACCGAGCGTATGTATCGGACCGGAGATCGCGTCAAATTGGACTTCAACCACAATCTTCTCTTCCTAGGTCGTATTGACACTCAGGTCAAGCATCGGGGCTTCCGCATCGAGCTTGGAGAGATTGAAAATGCACTGGCGCTTCATCCGGACGTTCAGACGGCGGCCGTCATTCTTTCTGGAGTGAGCGATCGCTTGGAGGCGTATCTCGTCATGCGCCGACCGGACGCAGCCTCTGCTAGCGTCGACTCAAAAGCATTCAAGGGCTCTCTCAGTGGCTTACCTGGGTACATGCAGCCCGAAGCCTTCTTTGTGCTTGGTGCCGACGAGATGCCTCGCCTGCCCAGCGGCAAGATCAACGCCAAGGCTCTTCAAGAGGTTTCGAAGGCCAAGGCAGACGAAGAGAAGGCCCGACAAGCAGCTGCGCAGGAAGTCGCAACCGAGAAGGCAGGCAACGAGCTTGCTGCTGTCGACCCAGCTTCCGAGCTCGGCGTCCTTCTCAGAGCGCTCTCAGCGGTGTTCCCGCAAGCGGTCCCAATCTTGCCGAATAGCGACTTCTTCGAGGACCTCGGTGGTCACAGTCTTGCGGCTGCAATGCTGGTGTCTAAGTTGCGAAAAGAATGCCCCTCAGAGTCTCCTCTCCGTACCATCGGAATGCAAGACATCTATTTATACCGCACAGCTCAGCAAATTTCGGCTCGCTTTGCCGTGCAAAGTGAGGACAACGACAGCAGCTCCGACTATGATGGGGCAGACGAGAAGCACGAAGCTTCGAGCTTGGGTGGACCTTCCGGAGCGCAGACCGGCGAACATTGGGAAGTCTCGACGCTACGTTACTGGCTGTGTGGCTTTTTCCAAGTACCGGCGCTGCTATTCTTTTGGTTCATTCAATCCATCGAGTACCTCGTACCCTATCTCATCTTCTTCGTCGCTCTTCACGCTAGGGGAATTGGCGCCGCGATCGTCTCAACTTATGCTGTCTTCATTGCTTTGCCTATCTTCTTGTCCTTAGTCGGCGTATTGGGCAAATGGCTGGCCCTCGGGAAAGCGAAGCCGGGCGAGTATCCTCTTTACGGGCTCTACTACTACCGATGGTGGCTCGCCGAACGCTTTGTGGAGCTTGCAGACTTACACAACATTGCCGACACCGTCTTGATGCCAAGTATTCTGCGCGGTCTGGGCGCTCGCGTAGGCTCCCACTGCCACTTGGGATTCATCACTACCGGAGCGGCTCTTGACCTCATCGAGATCGGCGATGACGTAGTAATCGGTCAAGACGTCGTCCTGTCGACGAGCATTGTGGAGCGCGGTCGACTAATCCTGAAGCCACTCCGAATAGGCAACGACGCGCGCGTCGGATCCAACAGCGTCATCGAGGGTGGCGCAAGCATCGAGGACGGCGCCGAGGTCGCCGCACTGACGATGGTTCCGGATGGTATGAGCATCCCGACTGCTCAGCGCTGGCATGGATCTCCGGCGCAGTTCTTTGCTGAGAGTGAAGATGTCGGCAACATGAGACAGACTCGACCAAGTGATCTGCGACGCTCACTGATGGGATTGGCAATGTCTTTCACGGTAGTGTTTGTCTTCCCAATTCTCTACTTCGCCCCTCAAATACCCAGTTTGCTGATGTTTGAGGTACTTAACATACGCCACCTCAACGACTGGCAGCAGACCGGAATTGTCGCCGTGCCTGCCGCCCTCGCCTACCTCTGCCTCGTCTTCCTCGAGCTCGTCGTCTTCAGGTGGATCGTCCTAGGCCCTCTGCGTGAAGGCACGCACCGAACAACGTCGGTCTTCTACTTCCGCAAGTGGGCGACAGACCGGATCATGGACATGTCTCTCAGCGTCTTGCACCCCGTCTATGCTACTCTGTACGTCGTGCCATTCCTGCGAGCCCTTGGCGTCAAGATCGGAAGAATGGCCGAGGTGTCCACTGCTCGAGGCATCAATTTCGAGCTCACCGAGATCGGCGACGAATCTTTCATCGCGGACGGAGTGCTCATGGGCGACACCGACGTGCGAAACAACATGTTGAAGCTCAAGAAGACGACGCTCGCTCCTCGCGCATTTGCTGGCAATGCGTCTCTACTGCCGCAAGGCACTCACCTGGCATCGAACACCCTCGTCGGCGTTTTGTCGATCGCTCCGCCAGCCGAGAAACCGCTTCAAGAAGGACAAAGCTGCTTTGGAAGCCCACCAGTGATGATGCCAGCTCGAGCTCAAGGCGCAACGTGCTACGCAGACCACCTGCTCTACAGTCCCAAGGCATGGCAAGTCGCGCTTCGCATCTTCATCGAGGGGTTGCGCATCGTGCTTCCACGAGCCCTCATTGTTTTCGGGCTTGGGTACGGCCTGGAGATTTTCGAGACTGCCTACCCGTACATTGGCGTTGTGCAGACTTGCTTGATGCTGCCCCTCTTCTTCTTCTTCCTCTTTGCTCTGCCGGGCTTCGTCTTTACCGTGCTGGCCAAGTGGACTCTCGTGGGAGTGTACAAGCCGGCAGAATGGCCACTCTGGTCCAAGAACGTCTGGCTGTCGGAATTTGTCACCTCGACGTACGAGACACTTGCAATGCCCTTGCTTACGGCCAAGCTCGTCGGCACTCCCTTCTTGCCTTGGTGCTTCAGATTGTTAGGTGTCCAGATCGGCAAGAAGGTGACCATGCTGAGCATGGACATCACCGAGTACGACTTGGTCAGCCTTGGAGACGAGGCAGTGATCAACCGACATGCTGGCCCGCAGACGCATCTGTTCCAAGATCGCCGAATGGGCATGGATCGAGTCGACTTGGAGAGCAGAGCTACAATGATGCCGTACAGCATCCTGCTTCCGAACAGTCGAATTGCCGAGGGAGGTCAATTGGGAAGCCTTTCGCTCGTGATGAAAGGCGAGTCGGTCCCTGCTGGCGAAGCCTGGGAAGGTGCTCCCATCGCTCCGCGTCGCAGAAGAAGACGCGCACCGTTTGCTGCCATTACCGATCTACCAAAGACTTCCGGTAGCGCTGGAGACCTGGCAAAAGGCTCCCCGGATGTGAGCCTGGGCTCAAGCATGTCTTCTGCGGCTCCCTCTTTGCGCGCACCTAGGGCCGCTTACGCCCGTCCCCGAGGGGACGGCAGCAGAGATTCGAGCAACGACACTACCACAACGATGGAGGTCTGAGATCTCTTCTTTCTCGTACATGAGGTGCTCGATCCGATGGCCGCTTCCCCTTCTCTGCGAATGCTACCGTCTGAAGATCCTCACTCCTTACACGCCTCCTACCCGCCTCGCTTCCAGCCTTGTGAACATCAACAAGAGTGTCGCAAAAGCCTTCTGAGAAGGCTGAAACCTCTGTACATACCACATTCTTTGTTCCGAAGCACAATCAGATACATAGCACTGTCAAACTCGACTGCGCAGAAGGGGGAGGGGGGGAGGAGAACTTCATCGGCCGCATATCAGGCGGCGATTAGTTTGAGGCACAGACTGGGGTGATCTCCCGTGACGGATTGCAGAGACGGAGCATGTTCACTTTGGAGCCGGAGATTGGGTATATATATCGATGCGCTGGATGTTCTTGCCGTCGAAGTTGGCATACGTGGTGGTAGCAGTGGTGGTGATGGGAACGACGCCACTGAGCAGGCCGATGCTCTGCGGGGGGTTTTCGACGGTGCCAGATAAGGGAAAGTTCAGCTTGTGATGCGTGTGAGCGCACCAGCCAGCATTACGTGCAAATAAAAAATTTGCCGACGCACCAGCACATACTCTCCGCGAACGGTCTGGTTGTTGTAATGGGTGAATTTGATCTCGGAAGATTTGTAAGCCAGCGTGCTCGCTCCGAGCTGCGTGGTCCGGCGGAGCTCGGCGGCGGAGGCGGCGGTCTGGAATGGACCCAGCCCATTGAATGACTGAGAACGATCGAGGATGCGTAAGAGAGGATCAGCTGCGAGCGCTGGCTACTGACACCCTCCCCGACTGCCTCACCTCGAAGCGGGCGAAGGGATCCTTCAAGGGTATGCTGTGCGGACCGAACTTGTTAGGTTTTTGCCCACTTCGGAAGGACGTCGAGATGTTGAGAGTCCTACTCACGCATCCGCATCCTCCTTCTTGTGACTGACGATGGCTTTGATGTAGGCTGCTAGACCACGCTCCCTGCACTTGTTGTCGCAAGTGGCTGCCTGAACGCCCACAGCAGCAAGACAGAGGAGCAAGGCGGAAAGGAGGAAGGAGATGGGTGAGGCACGCATGATGAGTGGTCCGAGGGACTGGAAGCAGACGGTGAAGGGGAATGGAGAGCAAGGAAGATTGCAAGCTTCTCAAGGGGCAAAGGATGAGCTGGATGGTGAGAACGAATGAAGATCAATACCATACGCAGATGATCAATGCCATGCAACAAATTGCGAACCGCTTTGACCCCTTTCTCGCGGACGATGTGCGGATGGGATGGGAACAACACGGATCGCTGGATGGCCAAATCAAGCCCTGAGCTACCGCTCCACCTCCTCGGCCCGCCCTATCCGGGGCACTTTGAGGCGGAAGGCCGAGGTGGGAATTGCTGCACAAATGGCGAAACGCAAAGAATGGGGACTGCAGCGCAAGCTTGGCGCTCGAGCACTTGATTCGGGAAGAGGTAGGTAAGCACTCCGACGACAATCATCGTGATGGAGGGGCGTCGCTCGTGTTTGACCTCGCATGTACCCCGGTGCGTGCGTGCATTTGTGGAAAGTATCGCCCGACGATAGTGGGGTACTTATGCCCGCCCTCCTGGTACCTACGCTACGCAGCTGATTAGGCACTCACACGCCGTGCTCCTCTTCCTTTCTCTTTCAGAATGCGGGGAGCGGGGACTGGCTTGGTCTGCTTGCGTGCGTTCGTGCCAGGATGCTCCCTCCCTCCATCAATCGCGATCGAATGAATTTGAATGGCCGTACAGTAGATCACCCACCCGGCCGCGCGCGTGATTTATTCCGATGCGCTTCGCTATAGCTGCAGGCGTTGCATGCGTTGCTTGACCGACCAGGCACGACTCACGAATGGTGGGGTGACCTTGCTCGCTCCTCGATCGTACCTTTCACGCAGCATGCATGCCTGCCACGGCATGGATCGATCGCCTTACAGCTCCATTGCTTCCCCATTGAAGGCTTGCTTGATGGAGACAAGCAGCTCACAAGGATGGAGCAGGTGCGGCATAACCCCCCATCAAATCCTCAGCCCGTCCAAGCCAAGCAGCAGGGAAGCGTACTCGTGACTGTACCTGCTGAGCGGATGCATGGTGGATGCATGGGCAGTGCTGGCATCAGCCAGCAGCACCACCACGTCGTGTACATGTAGAGCGCTATGCTGCGTGGGTTAGCGTGCTCGATCTCAAGCTATCCTTAAATTCCGCGGATTTCTCAATTTGGATCGTGACGTGTCGAGAACAGTCGTGAGTCTATTTAGCGTTTGATCCAAGACGTGCTCGCAAGCCGCGAAGATGGAGTCTGATCACGTGCCGTGTGACAAATCCTCAATCTCCAGTCAGTGAAGTCATGAGTGAGTCTTGAGTCAGGATGCTCGTGGCTGGTCGGCACTCGCGACCTATGCGACCCTCACCTATAGATGAACGCTTCTTACTCTTCGTAAACGTAGCATTGCTTTTGCATCTGGCAAAGCGGATCAGATTCCTTTCCCTTTCTTTCCCTCTCTTCCGACAACCTTCTCCTGGTGCTGCGTGCTGCGTCAAGGGGCCAAGTGCGTCGTCAGAGGCGGCCCTGCGAAACGAGTCAGTTTCTCGCGTAAAAAAAGACACCTGCATTGCGGATCGCAGCACCCTCGCCTCGGTCGTATATCAAGGCAATTCACTCGCTGCGCAGCAAAAATGTCTCAAGGGGTAGGCAATGTGAGTTGCATTCTTCCTCTGCTGATTTCCCACGCTCCAATGCTGACCACACTGCGAGATCTGCCCTGTCTGTGCAGACCACACTCGCCTTCACAAGAGCTTGGCACCACGTTTCTGCGCGGGATCGGGTCCTAGGCAAATTAGCGGCGTCCATTGCAAACGTCTTGGTCGGCAAGCACAAGCCGAGAGGTGTCTACGACCAGTCTTTGGATAGCGGCGATTATGTCGTCGTCACGAATGCTAGGCATGTGTTGGTGACGGGAAAGAAGGATCAGCAGATGGTCTATAGGCATCATACCATGTATCCTGGCGGATTAAAGGAAATTTCGTATGCTACCATGATGCAAAAGAAGCCCGATGAAGTGAGTCGTGCTTCAAACGTAGCAGAAACGGGGCGGCGCATGCCACTGAGGAGAAGCTGCGAGGGAATCCGCGCACAGAGGCTTTGAAATCAGAGCTGGACGGGGATCGTATGTTGGCGCTCTGCGTACGCATCACGCAGCATGTTGCAGAACTCAGCCGAGAGGTGGAGACCAAGACCATCGCCTCTCGCGCTTCACCATAACTCGACTCACCCTGCTGACGCTCATCCTGCCTCCCTTCGTCCGCCTTCTCCAAACACCAGATCATCCGTAAAGCCGTGTCCGGCATGTTGCCAAAGAACAGATTGAGGGATAGGCGATTGGAAAGGCTAAAGATCTTTCCCGATGAGGAACATCCTTACGAAGCAAAGTGAGTCTTTTGCCGCGCCATTAGCCTACCACGAAGCCAAAGCTGGAGAGGGACTTGCATTGCTCCCAGGCATTTCCTCTCGCGATGGGCCGTGGCCAAATGGCTCACAACGACCCACCACTGACGCCTCATGGACTTTTTCGCGCATTCAGCATCATCAAGCGCTACGATCTGGGTGACATCTTTGCAGCCGAGGGGCAACCTACCGCTTCGACACGAAGCAAGGTATCTGAAAGCGGCAGTACGCACACGTCATGAGAGGCCACTGCGCGCATCTGGTTCGCACAAGCCGTAAATCACATGCGCGTCACTGTCATGCTCTGTCTCCGTGAGCTTGCAGAGCTGTAGGGTGTTACATCATCTCGGTACGGCAAAGATCCATGCGCGCCGAGTGTGTGCAGGATGACTTTTACGGTGATTCTTTACCTCGAAACATCGAGCACGGCGCAGTAGGGCATAGCGTGAGGCGCGATTCGCACGAGGCGCCGCCTCAGACACGACAAGGGATTCGAAGCTCGAGCCAGGTAGCGTGTCAGAGGCATGACCCGACGCATTGTCGTCTTGCACTAATGACCACTAGATTGCGAATCAGTCCGCCATTCCTCAACGCGACCGACAAGGCGCACGCATCTCCATCCCGCTTGGCACTCGACAACGAATGCGGACTGTATGAACATCTCGATTTCGTAGCGCTTGCCGCAGCTCAAGACAGATCGCATGGGTGCTCTATTTGCGTTCGGCACCGGATTGCATGCAGTACCACACGAGATCGATGCCTGTCGCCCTGAATTGACAGACGTGAACCCAGCGTGGCGTGTGCTTAACGCAGCTTGCTAAAGATACGACTGTAGGCCAGAAGAGCGTCGCGCCGGACAGCATATTAGCACAAGATGCCGAGAACGAGCGTGATGCTTCCGATGTTGATGACTCACGGAGCGCTGCACTCTGAAGCGCAGTGCGCCAAGTGGACTGAGCATGAAGAGGAAAACGAGTATGACGAGATCAGCAAACGTAGTATCAGCAGCTGAAACGCGTTCAAGCTGACGGGCGGCCCTTTGGGTTGGCGGAGCTGCGCAGAAGTACAAGCTACCCCCCGTTTGTCTGGCCTTGACCCTGCACATCACAGCTTTGCCTCTTCATCGACGTGCTAGACTTGCCGATTATTCTGCCTCTGCCTCTTCATCTCAATCCCAAGACAGCGAGACTCAAAACACTTCTGCGGACTCACAGAACTCCTCGACGCAATTCTCGTCCTTGAAGCCCTTGCCATCCTGCACTCTTTGCTGGCACTCCTCGAAGTGGTGCTTGGCAGGTGCGCAGCCCTTTGAGTTCTCGCATTCTGGAGTCAGAAGATGCGCGCTAGGCACGGTGAGCATACATTGCTTCCCCCTATTTTAGCAGCCTTTCAATGCTAGCGACTCACCTTCGTAAATAGCGGGGTACTCCTGCGCAAGTGGAGTGGACCGAGAGCAAATGACGCTCAACATTCGTCAGATCATGTCTTCGCACCATCATCGCTACACTACATGCTCGCCTGCCTGAGCACTCACATCCTCTGGCTCCTCCTCCTCCTCCTCCTCTTCTGCCTCGCCTCCTTCCTCGCCACCCTCCTGAGGAACGCAAATCGCCAATGGAGCGTACGCACTTGTCAGCCTTCGATCCATTGCGCTACTTACACATTCTCTACTTGTCAATCACTCACCTCGCCGCCCTCTTCTCCAGATTGCCCCTCCTCAGACTCCTCCTCCTTGTCCTACAAAGTGTCGCATGACACATGAAATCCTAGTCAGAGCTGTCCCTGGCCACCGCTCGTGGCTGAAATCCTTGCCGCGACCCGACGGAGACTCACCTCGTCAGCGTAGACCGGAGTCATCAAGGAAGAGAATGCATCGGACAAGGATGAGAAGAGCGAAGAGGAAGAAGAGGTTTGTTGCAGCTCCTCCTCTTGCACCTGCGATTGCTCGTTGTTGCAGTTACTGGACGACATCATGCCTTCGCCTATGTTTCTCACGAGTGTGTGAAGAATCGGCGCGCGTTGGACTGGTATGGTGAAACGGTATGAACACCTTTGATGCGATAGGAAAGCTGTCACAATTCGGCCAACGACTTTCAAGTTCCCGTTTCGTGATTGTTGTGCGATGTTACGTGGTGCGATCTGACCCAACGTGCACCACCCAGCCGCCAGAACTTCCTTTCGCGTGTACCTGCTGCCGCTCTCGCGTTGAGACTCAAACTGGCAACCGTCCATCCATCCAGGCAACCACCGTCCAGCCATGCAGCGACGTGCGCTTGCTGACTATTCACTCCCCTCTCAGCCAACCCAGCCGAGATCTGCACCTTCTTGGCTCAGCTAGGCGTGACCGGCGCGGGCCGATCTACAAGCCACGTGGTGGTACGGCTGTGACCACAGACACGCCATGCGCTACTCACGTGACCCTCTTCAATTTGTCGTGTCGTTCCAAGCTTGTGCCAAGGCTACTCACACCCTGGCAGCACGCATCAGCAAGCGAGCCAGAACCACGAATCCAACCAGCCTCGAGTCGATCAGCCATCTTTGCTACGAATGTCATCGAACGCTGTAGCCAAGGGTCAATCACTGTCTGACCTTAGAATCAAATAGCCTCGTGCCTCTTGATTCAAACATACACGCGGCCAGTCTGAGTAGTATGAACGCTCTGCCACGTGGGTGTTTATCACGCGTGACAGGCGCAGACGCGCTCGCGCGCGCGCGCGCGTGGGCTTGTAATCTGATATGCTTTTGATCCGCCGGGCGCGGGTGCAAGTTGCAAGCGGTGCAGCCGGAGCGGGGGGCCAGGTCGGGGCTTCTCTTCTACAGTGTAGCTCTTTCGTTGCATGTCCGTCCACCCCGACGAAGAATGGCTTCGTAGTTCCCATGCAGCAGCAGAGAGGCGCTGTGAGCATGCTCGAAGCTGCAGATCATGCGTATAGTGGCCATGCTCTGTCACTACATGGCATGCTTGCCATGGCCCTGGAGCACTGCAACACTTTTCTTTTTTCTCTTCGCAAGGCGACGCACGCGGCTCGACCGCCCGACCTGCCAAGACAAGGTACGGATGGTGATGCAGCTCGAGCTGCAGTTCCAGTGCATTGACCGTTGCGGAGTGCAAGTTCAGGGCCGTGCAATTGCACAGTGCAAAAAGTACTGGAGGCTGTATG